TGTCACCGAAGACAAATTCCTTGTATATATTTTATACTTGGCCATTAAAGTATTTTGTATTTGTATTGTATTGTAAAGTTTTGAATAGCTTCCTAAAATTCAGTTGTGCTTAGTATATCCCAGTATCAATCACCTGCTCTTTATTTATTTCATTAAGATCAAATGACATTCTGCTGTATTGTTAAGATTACGTTTTTTATTAATTATCTTTTAATTTACTAAGTTTTAAAAACTAGTTGGTGCAATTCAGCATAAAACATACAGTTGTGCAATGGACAGTTCTTCAGTATACAAGCATATGAATGTTATTTTGCCAAACTTGACATTCCTACCTGAGGAGAAGAAAATTAAGGTTAGGAATAATTTGTAAATACTGAATGCTATCTATATTCAATGGTTGCATTTCCTGTGAATTACGTTAAATTTTATTTAACCCCAGTGTTTAATATGTTTGCTGTAGCCCCACTACTTACGTTCTAGAAGAAGATGAACCTCGCTTCCTTGAAGAAGTGGACTATAGTGCTGAGAGCAACGATGAGCCAGACCCTGACTTGGCAAACAATGCTGGGGACTATGAGCCCTGTCTTCAAGAAGATGGACTTTCTGACTCTGAAATTACGAGGACGCGTTTGCCTTGAGACATTCTTGGTACATGAAGAAACAAACTACTGTGGCTTATTTAAAAGAAACATGGTGGGTTATTTCATCTTGGGGTTTTGCTAAAGCAGATAAACTGCAGTCAGCCCAATTCAAAAACAATAAATGCTTCTGACTTTTAAATAATTGGCATTTGTTTTATTTAAGTAATTGAATTTTTATTTTTGCATTGGAATTACTTTATCCCTCGATGCCTGCTAATTACTGATGCATGGCTTTTTGTGTTCATCCCTATAATCACCAAGATAAAAGAAGTAATTACTAAGATGTAATTGGCAAATCAGAGAGCAGAAGTTAACCTTATTCTTGTCACACAAGCTGTTGGGCTAGTTACTAAAATTCGCATACAATTTTTTTGGAAAGTTTTTGCATCTGTGTACCGGTATTTTTTTTAATTCTGTTGTTTTTTTGTTTGATGTAATGCAGGGATTGCTCTAAATTAATTCATTTTGCATATAATGGATGAAAAATGGATGTTCTCGTTGACATATATTTTAAGCCTTAGATTGTATTAACATGGTTTTGCTACAGCCTTAATTTAAAATTGGCAATATCCACATTTGTAGTTGAGATCTGTACCTGCAGAAAGATTTCATTTACTGGGTAAACACTTTGAGAGTGGAGAGTCTTATATTCAGCCATACATGCAACTGTTCCTCTTCAGTCTCCTAGTAAAGTCTTACATGTTATAGTATTTCTTCATGTGAAAACACTCCACTGAAAATATAGAGGAGAGAGTTAGGGATGGATCTTTCTTTCCTGAAATGCAGGATTTTTTTTTTCTGTGTGAAGGAGATTCAGTAATGTAACCCTCAACCTACATTTTAAGATGGTAACATCTATCAGCTTTTTGTGAAAAAATAAGCCTCGTGTATCCATGCTGACTATAAAGTATATATTTATGTAAACACTTATTACCTAAAACTCATAACCAAATTCTTTCTGAGGTTCATATAAAGCTTGGAGAAAATATGTGTTCTTCGTAAGCATAACAATTTAATTGTATGTATATTTCGTGATACAAATTCTAGATCCTTTTCCATATTTAATATGCGCATAGCCAATATGAGTTCAAAGTGCTCTGGATACAAAGCATATACTTTTCTATATATTATTGTGGAAGAATAATGGTGTCGATTTGGGTGGAAGTTGCTTTATAGTCTCTTGAACTGACTGTGTAATCCAGAGAAAAGTTAAGCATGTGGAATTCTAATTTTAAAATATCTAAGCACATGGAGCCTGTGAATGTTAAATTTTTCAAATGAAGTTAAATATCCCTAACATTGTCTGATGTCTGCTTTATCTCCCCACCCCCTGTTCCCCTGTCTTTTATTGAAATATTATAAATCAAAGGTGATAAGACATTGGAACTAATATCAGAGTATTGAAGGCCAGATCCTTGTCTGTAGTATTAGCCAATTTATTTCCTGAAAGAAATCCACACTCCCCTTTTTGTTTTCTTTTGATGGAGCTTATGCAAGAGGGAATGGTCTGGCTTTTTCTTAAGCTAAAACATCTTGCTACATGTAAGTGGAGATTATTTTATTACTGTCCTTTATTGCCAGAGGAAGCATTTAAAAAACAGAATCAGATCAGTTTTAAGAGATATATATTTGGTCTTCTGCATTCTCACCCCCCACCCAAGCTAGATGTATTTCACAGAAGTAGATAAAAATTAATAAAGTATATAAATGTACGGGAAAAAATAACATATTCATTGATTAAAAATATTTTTTTAATCCAATCCACAACTTTGCTACTCATACAGGATTGCTACGCGTTGTCCCTACAAGCAAAATGCAGTTATGCTCTGAGTGGAACAAAAGGGTTTACAGCTCTGGCCTTCTGGAATGAAAATGAAAATGAAATAAGTAGCATCTTAGAAACAGCAGATATCCTAGACTGGCAGTTAAACTGTGGATTAGATTATAAAACGATGTCCTTTATCAAATCAAGGAGGGTTGAACAGATGTATTCAAGAACTGATCCAATATGTATTTGTTCTTTGCTTTGTTGTAAGGAACCTACAGTGCAGTATGGAAATGAGTGGATAATCAGATGATGTTGATATAACAAGTTGTATTAATTTCTCCATCCTCTTAACTGAAGCAGATTTAAGAGTCTTGTAGTTAATCTTTTGAACTTTATGAATATTTTCCTATATTTTTAAATCTTTGAATGTATTTTCATATAATTTTGTTTTTACAAGATGATTTTTGATGCAAATGTGATATGGAACACCACAGATATTAAAAATATATAAATTTGAGTTGTACTTTGTCAGCTTCTGGGACTTTCATAGATGGACAAAGAAAATTATGTATCAGTAATGCTTATTTCTTTTAATGAAATCTTCCTTTTTAAATATTGTACTGTACCTCACAGGCAAAAGTTTGTGCAACTATCAGATGTCAGTTGTGTGTGGAATATTATTTTAGTCATAACTGAATAATGAAAACAATTGCTCAAATTAGGCTGGCAAATATAAAATAGTTTGTACAAAAGCTAGAAAGCCCAGGTTTTAATATAAGAATTCATTGTAATGCTGTAATTATAAATTGTGGCAATATTATTGTGTATGACCTACTTCCCAGATAGATAATTTATCAAGTAAATGTATAATAAAATAATTATCATCATCTGATTTCTCTGCATATTGGAGGATGGGATTGGGGAGGGAAAATTGGAAACCTTCAATATGCAATGTCACATCACAGTTTAAGAATAAGTGTTGATAAATTATCACAGAAGCTATTTTTGGATTTAGATGCTTAAAAAAACTTGAATAGCAAATTTAAGAGAGTTTTGACGTCTTCTATGTTTTAAAAATCATATTAAGCCTATTTTAGGGCTTATACTATATTTGAGGTTTCCTCCCTCAAAGTTGCAGGATACCATGATTCCTGTTTCTTGCATCTTTGATCAGTGGTAACTTTGGGGACCTCAATAAAGGGTCCAGTGGGTCCGATACCGTAGATTTAAATAGCAAATAGATTTCTTGCCAAATATATTTGCCAAACAGAAACATCAAGTTCAATTCCTGTTATGGTTACCATTTGGTATGTGTCACTGCAAATAACAGGGATCACCAGGGAGGCAGCACTTAACGACCCACTGGGGGATGAGTGAGGGATTTGGAGTAAGACATTCACATCCCATAGACTCTACTAATCACTCTCCTATTACCCCTTCAACGAGCCCATCATGTCAGTGAGGAACGCAGCCACCCTGGAAGACAT